GACAGAGACAAAGCCTGAATATCTCTGCTATAGGGCGAATCTGATTGTATATCCTTATTGCGTCTTGATCTCAAGACTGGACTCAAGCATCAGATACGAGTTCATCTTGCATCGTTTTTGAAATGTGAGGCAATCTGAAATCGTCAATCGCATGCGAGACTGACTGGTGTAAACAGGTCCAATACTTGGTGATCATCGATATGCTACTGATGAGCAAAAGAAACATCGCCTTATTCGGCAATTCTCGCAACCGAGGCTTATGCTTCACGCGTCTCGGATCAGCTTGATCGTAAGTCATGACAATTCGCAATCGCTAACCGTTTTAACGAACAATACAACAGAGGTACAAGAAAGAAGGCCGCAAAAAGCAATTCAAGCTGAGCATAGTAGCGCCCCTTCCTCCAGATTTTGTCAAGATTTGTCGAAATTTGGACATTCCGTTGACACGAGCGGATCTCGAAGGAGGGGTATTGGTTGACGATGAACCTTGTACTAATGAGCGACTGTGGGAGGTAGCAAACGGACACTGGATTCCCGGTTTACCGCAATGACACACTCTGGGTTGGAGGTACGTAGCAGATGAATTGACAAGTTCATACATTGACTATACGATACACTATCATATTACAGATTGATTTTGTTCGCTTCTGGATTTATTTGTCTGCAATAGGGAATTCTTTACCCGTGGCACCCTTATACTGCCTTCGGATGGCGTCAGAGATTTGTTCATCTGCGTACAGGAGGGTTAGTCTGAATTTCCGATTTTCCAACTAAGCTTCACTTGCCTTTGGCTTGCTCAAATGCCCCCTCGTTGGTCTGCTGACCTCCTCCCGACCTCTCTTGGACGAAATCGACAGCTAATCGGGCAGTCAGCAACAGGGCCAAATGTAGGGTAGCATTAGGGCACATTACCTTTATCAAGAGCATCTTCCTTCTGCTCTCCGGATTGACCGCCACCCATTGCACTACTCATCTTTCCCATAATTCCACCTCCTGATTGTTGTTGCTGCTGAGGCTCTTCAGCGTTGCTGGTTGATTTAGATCCAGAAAGGAAGTTCATGGTTGTTTAGTTTTTCAGTTTGT